ACCCCCCTCAGGGTGCTCTTGAAACCCTTTTTGTCCTACCTGTAAAGAAACACAGAACAGGATTACAGTCCAGCAGCCTCCACTCTGCTTGCCTGCCTCCTGCTCCCAGCTTCAGCCAGTGCTGAAACTTCCTGCTGGGAGGGGCAGAGGGGACTTCCTTTCTGGCAGGAACCAGGGAGTTCTCCCAGCATGCCGCCATTTGTAGTCCACAACTTGTAGTTCCCCTGGCAGCTGTAGAAGCACACTGGACCTTGGGCTAGACACCTGTATTAGTGTCTCAAACTCCCTTTTACATCCTGGCCTGCAGCAGCCCACAGTGCTCCGCATAGCTTCTGATTGCCCCACTTCTGAAGCTGGAATCAGTTGCAAATCCCCTCATTTGCAGCCTATATACTGGCCTGTCCCTGGTACATAAGCACAGTACTGTGATTACTGATACTGCCATGTCAGGACTGGGGGCCCATTTTTCTGGGTGCTGTACAAACATACACAAGACTAAAAACCATTTGCATGAGAAGTTTCAAGTAAGTGAATCAGGCGGGCCATATTAGTAAAATGGAGGCAGCAGAGAATAAAGTGCTATCAGTGGAAAAGTAAGGAAAGGCAGCATTGTCAAGGGCCTTGAAGTGAAAGCAAGTAGTTTGAACTTGAGGAAGTCAAGCAAAGGGAGCCAGTTTAGCGATTCAAAAGAGGCTGTGAGTGGTGTGATGTGGTCAGTGACACGGACAAAGAAGACGGTCTTAGCCAGTGTCATTGGCTGAGTAGAGGAAGGTAATGTGGGTGTTAGGAAAGAAAACCAGGCAACTCTAAAAAAGCAGCTACCTGATAGTCAAAGAAGTGAGGTGCCAGAAACCTAATTGTTAGAGGGCTGGATCACAGCCTTCTGGTTTATATAAATCCATATTTCCTTTTGTTACATGCTGTATGCAACATAAACCTCAGGAATAAAACTAGAGAGAGAAAAGTTGTTCATTGAAAGATTTTTTGTGTGTGCCTTTGTTGGCTGGGGTGCCCGGGCCACTTGCATACCTGTTGTCCCATCACCAGTGTGAGCCCCCAATTGGAACATATGTCTGCCAACGTGTCTAGGTCACTATGTGAAAGCAAGTAACTTTGCTCTTTCAAGGCACCTCATCAGCTTGACCAGTAATTGAATCCTAAATGCAGAGAAAAGTGTGGTAAATCTGAATTTTAACATAGACTTAACTGACTAAAGTTGTCATCCTGTTTTGTGAGGCTTCTGTTAATTTTAATGAAAAAGAAAAGAGAAGTAGTCTTGGGGACATGCAAGAGTGATGAAATCCATCCAACCAGTTACATGTATGTGTGACAGATCTATTTAGCTTCTAAAAATCTATTTAATGCCAAAAACTACATTAGAGAATTCAAACAAAAGCTCATGGGGAGCCATGTAATGAGACTACTTTGATTATTCTTGTGATTAGTCCATTCCCCCTTCCCCCTCAGGACTTTCATTTAGAAAAGTAGTCATTTTAAGAGTATGCACATTTGGATTGCTAGTTTGCTGTGCAACTGGCAAGAGGCCAGCCTTCTGCGAAACTTGATGGTATCCGAGGAAACAACTAGCTGAGTTAAATATGTGCAGTCCAGCATGATTTTGATCCAGTGCCATAGATTTCCAGAAATTCTACATGTATAATATCCAATCCCATCTACTATCAGGTTAATTATTCTGGATGTGATATGTCTCTAATATAATGTCATGATCCCACAGATCGGTGGTTCTCAAACTGTGGGTTGGGAACCCAAAGTGGGTAGCGACCCCATTTTAACTGGGACACTAGAGCTGGTGTTAGACTTCCTGGGGCCGAAGTGAAGCCAGAGCCCCACCACCCAGGGCTGAAGCTGAAGCCCGAGGACTTCAGCTTTGTCACCCCCCGTGCTGGGCAACTGAGATCAGGCTTTGGCTTTGGGCCCCCCTGTTCTGGGCAGTGGGGCTCGGGCTTTGCCCCCCCCCCTCACCTGGGGCATCAGGGCTCAGGAGAGCTTAAGCTTTGGTCCCCCTCTTGGGGTCATGTAGTAATTTTTGTTGTCAGAAGGGGGTCACTGTGCAATGAAGTTTGAGAACCCCTGCCATAGATCTTGAAGCTGAATACACAGGGTTCCCACTCAGCTGTTAGCTTCCATGTTCACACCCAGCAGCTTGCTACTAATCAACCAAGCAGGAGAGACCATGTAATCTGAAGAAAGATCAGGAAGGGCTTCCCTGGGCCTGATTGGAGGAACACCATGAAGTCTGATTGGTCAGGACTTCCTATTTAAACCCCATGAGACTCTGCCCTACTGGGTTGCTACATTGGATCCTGCTTTCCTCTCTGATGCCTGAACCCTGCCATGCTACTCATCCTTGCCCCTGGTCTCTGAATCTGGCTCTGACCCTTGCCCTGAATCCTATGATTCTGGCTTCAACCACTAGACCTGTTCACCTATGTCCTGACCCTGACACACTGTAATTAAATTACTTACGACTTTAGTGCTCAGTGATCTTGTAGACTCAAGTAGATGTCCATTACCCCCCACCCCCTCTATTTTGGCAAGGGCTTGAGTAGAAGTCAATGTGTTATCCATGGAAAATCCAGTACTTTGTCCCTGACAGGTGTATACATCCTTCAAATGAAGGATAGAAAACGGCCTTGTATTGACATTGACAGCAGCATGACATTTATATTAAAATTGCATGAGCCTTCTCTGACTAAGAATGTGGGGAATAAAAAGCAATATTTTTAATAAATATATTTGACAGTAAAGTATTAATTGATGTTGGTAGCAATAGACAATTGCCTGTGGGACACTGCACATAATCAGTAGCCACTAAAATGTTGACTGTAACTCAAGGTTGTGAAGTGAAATCATAAAATACACTATTCTGAGAAAATGACATGAACATTTTTTGAATCTAAAAAATGTTAGCCTATACACAGAGGGCCAGATTCTGAGCTCATTTATGCTAGGGGAACTCCAGAGTAATGCCATACTATTTTTTTTTCATTTAGAAACTAACTTTAAGGGAATACTGTTAAGATGAAAAAAAAAGTAAATAAAGTATTTAAAAGAAAATGATAGCACTACCTTAGCCTATTAAAACGGGATGCATTTTAAAAATGCGATTAAAAATGAGAATGCATTTCAAAAATGGACCTGATTCTTTACTTCTTTCAATTTCGCCCAGATTTTGGCTCCTGTTCTGACTACTTGACACCACTGGGGATTCCCAATTATGTGAGGAGAATCTCCAGGGGGCATAGAGCAGCCATAGCATCTATGCTTCTCCTTTCCTAGCCTCTGGCCTACGGGATGGTTCCAGGGCAGGAGGGCATGGCTAGAATGCCTCTATACGCTAGTTATCCCACACTGCTGGAATGAACCTCTTGGGGCTATGGGCTGTTTTATCTTATGCAGAGACTGTACTCATCCCCAAAAAGCTCCAGGAGCCACAAAGGCATCATAAAGTTTTCTCTACCTGCCCTCAGCTCAAGCACAGGTTGGCTGGACCAAAGAATTTGGACCTTGCACGGTCACTTTATAATTGTATAAACTGCATTGAAAGTGGGTGTAAAACATGACCATTCGGCTTTGTTAGCATTTTATACCCATTTTGCACTCACTATCCACAGTTATAAATAGCTACGCGATGCAGAGGAGAATCAACCCTCTTAGTTACTTTTTTGCATGTCTTTAAGCTTAATCAGTGAAACTAGGGTGGTCTACTTAGTTGCCCTTTCTATTTGCAGATAATATCACTTCCTGATTCTCATGCATTGGCACCTTTCTATTAAGCAGTTGGCTTTGGATTTCTGCCATTGTAGGGTACTGTTGAAATAAAAACAAAACAAACAAACAATAATTACCTGTTTTCCCTGAGAAAAGTGATACTAATGAAAATGTTTCCTGTCATTAGGTTTTGACTAAATTTTTAAATAAAACATTAGATATGTTACTTAATAGTGTTCCTTTCATACTGAAGCATGTGTGATATCATTCATGTGAAAATACTTCCAAGTAAACAATTATTTATAGAGTAATTCCAAGCAATCGCTATTATTAGGATTCATACAGGCAGCGGTCAAGTTCCAGCCAGAAGGAGAAGAGAGATTTTTAATGCGGTGGATACAGGGATATGCAGGAGTGGAGGAAAATATACAGCAATTATTAGCACAATCAAACCACACACACTTACCCATTACTTAAAGACACGATAAAATGCACAAAATTACACTTGCTAATCTGGCACTGAATAAAAGCATGCATTAGCCCAGAATCTCTGTCTTTATGATCTGTGGAACTCCATCCATGTGCAGTTGGGCTGATGTGAGAAGAGGGTCTGAAATGGCATCAGGTCACCAGTTTCTAGCCATTTGCATTCCCAGCACAGCGGCAGGAGATGGCGGGAATCTGGTGGTGGATTTTCTTACAGGAATGCCATGCAAAGAAAACTGGGCAGACACACATCCTGACAAGTATCCTTGAATGCTTTGAGTGCACACTCTAGGGTTTCTTCTCTTCCTTCTTCCGAAGAAGAATCTGAAGAATCTCCAGTCTTATCTTCCCCCCTCTGCCTGAGGCTCCCTCCCCCAGCCCAGTCTCTTTTCCCCTCTGATGTCTAATTTCCTTCACCTTTTTTCCTCCCCCCATCTCAGGAGCCTTCCTGGAACATGGCTGCAGTATAGAAACTGGAAGCAGAGCACCAAAGAAGGAAGCCAGGAGAGATAGCTGCAGCTGCCTAGCAACAGAAGCACCAGGGGCCCCTGACACAGGAATAATACTGCTCCTAATGAATTCCGGATAGTTATAAGTGATTTCATGAAGATGGCTAAAGTCAGGCTTGTGTAGACATGGCTGTGTAGCAAAGATATGCCGCCTACACTTGAAAATCATCCAGGGATTTTAATTTTAGAGTGCCTCCTGCTAAATATTCATATTTCAAGAAAGTCATGTCAGGTTATTTCACAGGCAAGGAACCAGGCAAAGAAACTAATAACCCTGTTTCATAAAGCATTTATTTTTTATTTGAAAACATTATACAGGCATTACATTGCCACAGCCAGTCCATATAGGAGCATGCAAATATCAAAACAGAGAAAGGTTTGTTCAGCTTAGTGCAGGAGTTTGGGGTCGGAGTGTTTTTGTTTGATTGGTTTTGGTTCACATTTCCATTTGCAGTGCCAAAATTAGTGTGCTTAATTATGACATTTAACAATAAAATTCTACCCATGGGGTAAAATTTATATTTGTAGCTAGCTTGGGAATACTAATTTTTTTAAAAGGGAAAGAAAACAATACTACACGCTTGTCAAAATGTTAATAGCACAAGTTAGCAATATCTAAACTATACATTGAAACTTTTCCATATGACACAGTGGTGCAAAATTTTCAATTGCTTTGTCTATTGTTGTGTATTTTAAAAGTTTATAGCTGGAAAAAAGGACAAGTTCTGACTCCCAGTGCAGGTCTCCATCCAGTAGCAGAAAATTACATCAGCCTTGCTAAGGACTCCTCACCGCCAATGGGTAGCAGAGCTTCAGTTTGTTCAAGAAAAAGATATACACAGAGCTGGTGAAGTCCTAATTCAACCAGTAGAGTTGCTGCCAGTCGGATAGCTGAACCTTGCTGGTGTCCACTGAGGTCTGGAATTGCAGGAAATTAAACATCTAGAAATAATAGTTTTCCCTGCTGGACCTCAGCTTTCATTCAACAGCGTATTTGTAAAGCTATACTACTGTTTTCCTTTGAGGTCCATCCATTATTGGCAAATTGGAACAATTCAACACATCCTCTTTAGCTGGAGACAAAAAAACAAAATAAAAATAAAAATAAAAAAAATCAACCCCATACTAAATTATCCCAATACCATGAATCTCTTCATGTGCAAGAACACACAGGATGGTTGTTGAGTGCACAGTGCATATGTGAACAGTTGCAATTTATTTCCATACAATTAAGTCATTTAAGTTATCCCATAACAATTGTTTCAGATGGCACCTCTTAGCCATCAGTTGATTTCAAACCCTTATATGCATAAACTCCTGGGTCAGTGAGCTGACCTGGATATGCCTTCGATCCAGTTGTTCCTAGTAAGACTTTAATAAACATCTACAAATTATTGTAATAAAAATGAGAGAAGAGAGAGAAAAAGACTAAAAACATTTGGCTTAGAAAATAAATACTAAGAATGAAGTAAACCAAAATAATTATGTAAAATGAAGGAATGTAAACATGAAACAAACATGCACACATACACTCCCAGTCTTCAGAGGTCTCAAGACTAACTTGGGAATAATGCGCAGAGAAAGGTATTTAATTGGTATAAAAGGTAGCAAAAAGACTGGGAGATGACAGGTGCCCACCAATGCTTTTTAGGGTACCTGAGAGAACAATGACAGTTGTAACGAGAACATATTGCAGGGGCTTGAACTGTACAGTGACTACACAAAGCCCATGCACCAGTTAAGCCCTGATTTGAGGACTTCAGTGGTTCCTTGGTCTTGTGCTGGCCCTCTGCACAAGGATGAATTGACGGGTCACCTATGTCCCACTTAAAACCTATTTTGAGGTCTTAACTGGGAATGGAGAGGTCAAACAAACAGAGATGAATGTGAAAAATCTCAGTGTCACCAACTCTTGTAATTTTAGAGTGTGAATCTCACTATATTTGCAGTTTCTCTTAAAGCCCCAGATCCTGGAGTCATATTATATGGAAATCTCAGCTTTTTTTTCTTCTTCTTCTTTTTAAGGTTTCCAGCCCTTATGGTTGCAGGGAAAAGCCTGAAAACATGACCACTAAAAGCTCCCAACCAGAAGCAAAATAAAAAGAACCCAACTTTTTTTTTTTTAAATCTCATGATTTCTGAACATGTGTGTGTGTGTGGGGGGGGGTTTGACAATATTACAATCCCCTCTTTTTCAACTGCAGTGGGATCATAGAAGGCAGCATAATCATGATGAGACAGACTGTGTCTCTCTTCCTCATCAACAGGAAGAATGAGATTAAACAGATAGTCAGTAATTTATTAGCATATTGGCACGTCGCCATTTTTATACTTGTATGCAAAGTTCCCTCAGGCTGCTTCAGAGAAGTCCTTTTTATAGCTTTGCAGAACAAGACTATAAGACAATTATTATTTCAGCAGAAATCCATCCTGCTTGGTTGATTTGCCTGGCCTTTTCCAATCTCAAGAGTGTACAGTTTCTTTTTCTCATAGAAATAGGTGAGTTGTATTTTTTTTTACAGAAAGCCCTACATTTTCATTTAAAACTGACTTCTTCAGAGTAATGTCATTCAACTAAAATACATTTCATATGCCCACCAGCAGAAAATGCAGCAATTTACCACAACCTTGCTGCAAACCCTGTTTTCCAATACAATGAATATATAAAAGCTATTATAATAATATGTCCTACTTCCTTGGCTCCTTCTTTCTGAAGATCTTAAAGCACTTTTAAAAAAATTTAGTCCTGTGAGAGAGGTAAAAATACTCCTGTGAGGGAGGTAAAGAATTACTATCCCTGTATACACAGATTAGGAAACTAAGCCACACAGAGGTTAAATGACATGTCTAAGATCACACAAGAGGTCTGTGGCAGATCTGTGAATAAAACTGAGCTCTCTTGAATCTCTATCCTGTCCTTTAAATACAAGACTATCCTTCCTTTCCTTAATTTTAAGAGGAAAATGGACTGACGATGTATGAAGCAATGACTTTTGTCTTTCACTGTGCTCTTAAAAGGGAAAAAAAAAATCAAGACAGGTTACAGATTTGCAGTGTTCTGCTTCAGATTCCATAGAAGTGTTTTAAATGCTCCACATTTCTGATGAGTTTCCTGCAGCAGAAGTACAGTGGTAGAGCACACCCTTATTTTAGAGGGACTGTCACATTCCCTGATGAATATCAGAACACTGCTAAATTCTTCTACTTTTGTAGATAAATGAAAAATAATTGGCTACACCTCTCTGGCATGAATACCATCATGCTGCTGCAGTACCACCAGCAGATGGGTCGGTCTTATTCTTAATATTCATGAGTTCACTACATTATCATACTAATATTTATGATTGTGGCACAAGAAGGTTCTGATGAAAAATTTACATATTTCCAGATTAGCATGGTTAGGAAAAGGAAGTCAAAGCCTCCTGTACCACAGGACTGAGAGAACTGGAATAGTAGAAGGCTCCTGAATATGCACTGAGCATTGAAAATAAATGCCCTGGTCTGACTGATATATCATCACCAATGAGAGCTACAATATCTAGGAAAATAGAAAATGAAAATTTGTTACAGATTTAATTTTAAAAGTAAGAAATGTGTTCTGTTTTGTTTCTGCAGGTTAGACAGAGCTACAGAAATGTAATTCCCGTGTCACCTGGTACAGAACCTCAGCCACCAGGAAATCCTCCATGAAACATAAAAAGGTCAATGCTTCAGTAATTCACTTCTGTAAATATAGAAAGGCTAAAATGCTCATTTTACACCTATTCCTAGAATAGAGACTGATATTGTAAATTGTCCCTCCCCTGCACTCAGAGCAGAGATTACATATAAGGTGGGCTACCAGATAGATAGTACAGCTGAACTCATTAATCCTTTCTCCCAAAAGATCCAGGTGCTACCAAAAATGCATCAGGGTGTAGCTACCAGAAGTATCCCACTTATTTGTGCAAAACAAATACATTTTAAAAAGAGAGAAAATAACAGTGACTGTACAAGTGGACTTGCTGTAAAAATGTGGCTTTTCCACAACTCTGTGTGGCCTTGGCAAAGTATCACACAATAGGTGCAAAAATACCCTTTTGATTTCTGTGTAATTTCAGCTTGCATTTTGAATATCTTCACAGGTAGTTTGATAGTGAGCGATTCACATAGAACATTCTGTTGAGGCCAGCATACTACTAAATAAGGGACTGGCATCTCTTCGCAATGTACACCTAGTGACAATTAGTTTCTAACTTTTACAGGCTTTTCCTATTTGCTACCTTGAAGCTCACCTGTGTAACCGTACCCAGTAAATACCTTTCTCTATGTACAATACAGGGATCATGGATATACAAACTCTACTGAAATCATCAGTGGGAGACAAGTGCCTGGGATTAGGCAACTCTGACATGAGGCTCCTCTTCTGTCTCCTGGCTTAGACTGGTATACGTTACTGAAGGTTCCAGCTGTCCGGTTGCTGGCAAGTCTACAACAGGTCCTGAAGGGTTTCGAAACTGCTTGTACACCCGTGGATCCTGGGCTACGTACGTGGAGGTGGAGGAGTACAGCACCAGCCCAACAAGGATAGTAAAGAATGACAGCAGATAAAGTCCTGAAAACTAAACATAAATAAGGGTTAAGTCATTAGAAAGTTGCACTGATTATTTGTGCTCATGAGGGCTAGTGGAAAATTGCAGGCACAGATCCTTTTTTTTATATGCACAGCATAGAGCACTGTTAGTCATTCCTTGTTTTACTGTAGATTTTGAGGAGATACTCTTGCTGGAAGTTTGTTTCCATTACTCGTGCCTCCTATTTTATCAAAAATATGAGTGCAATTCTCCTATGGCCCTAGCAATAGGTAAATATGAGACTGTTAACTGGGACTCAGAAGATCTGGGTTTTGTTCTCAGCTCTGACACTTATCGCCTTAATGCTTTGCCCAAGTCACTTCCCCTCTCTGGAGTTCAGTTTCTCCCTCCACAAAATAGGGATAATGCTATTTACCAATATTTGTAAAATGTTTTGAGATCTATGGATGAAAGGTGCAGTTCAAGTCTGAGGTTTTATTGTTTTCAAACCATGTGTCTTTAAAGTATAACACACACAGTCGGTGCTATATAAATAGCAATGATATCATAAATTTTAAAAAGCATTTAAAAAGTACCCTTAGAAAATATATTTTTAGTTTCTTTTGATATTTACTTAACCATATATTGGTGCCTGGTGGTACATCAGTTTTTATTCACCTGGATGAAAGCCCAAGGTAGTTCACTTGCAGCAATAAATATTTTGTGTGTAAGCTGAATTCAGAAAGCAGATAATAGGGCTGCACATGCTTTAATGTGATTTCAGAAAAGTCAGGGATTATAGCTTTAAGAAGCCCTGGGCTGGCTTCAAAAGGTTGGAATGTACACACAGAAGATCAGATGTTTATCCAAAGCTTGAGTCTGCATAATCTGATAGGCAATTTCACAAGACCAGACATTCTTTTGAGTTTTCTGATATATCCTGCTTCAGGTTGGGCTGGAAATATCACACAAATAGACTTTCTGGCAATATTTCAGCACTTGTAAGTGAGGTAGAGGCAGGAACCCAGAAGTCCATAGGAATCAGAAATAAAGTATTTGATCCTTAGTCCCCTGTAAGGTCACCGTATGCTGCTGGAACAGCACAAAGTGACCTTAAAGCGGCCCTAAAGGGGCAGCTGAGAATTTCCTTAGCAACGGAAGAATGTTTTGATGGTGGAAAGGTGGCATAAACAGCTTTATGTTGTTTGCTTCTCCCACATCAGCAGAAGGAGTGTGAATTATACCAGAGCACAATGTACTCCGCTAATTTCCAGCCAGTGGAATGGTCCCTAGTGGGCCATTCTAATTGGCATAAGTCAGAGCAACCATGTGGCCACTCCAGCTTATCTAGGATCAAAAGAGAAGTAAATGAGGCTTAAAGTCACCTTTACACTCATCCTAAGCTGTACCAACCATGAACCCAATAAAGGAAGAAAAATTAACTTTCAGAATCTTTAAACAGTACACTTGTAGAAATGGGCAAAGATGTGATGTGAGGGTACATGCACACCCCTAATCAACTTCCCTACTGCGAAGCCCCCTCTCACAAAGAAATCAAAAGTGATCTGAATTCAAGACTCACCAGAGGACAAACCGCATGGCGCAACTTGGTAGGTCAAAGGACATAGAACTGATTTTGTATTTAGCAAGAGTTCTAAAAGTGCAAGTGTTCAGCTGTGGTCAGGAATACAAGAATGAATGAAAATGCCAACAGCTAACTACAATCGTGTAACCAATTATGGGCTACCTTCTGAACACAAGGGAGACACAAATCTGTTCTCTAATCCTAGCTGATTATGGAACTTTGACAGGTGCCAAATGTGTTTCTCTTGGTTCATTTAGATGCAGTGCTAGAAGGCCAGACTGAGTTAAATTATTCACGCAAGAGCTTCAGCAGTTCTGCCCCACTTCTTTATGCTTGTAAGGAAATAATTTTGTCAAATACAAGTTTTCTTTAAAGGTGCTAACTTTTTCCTGTTATTAATTTGCTATCACAGCACTGAGCTACACAGCTTGTGTCCAACATTTCTGCTTGTGGTTAATCCTACTGCATTTGGCATTTTTCAGAAATAGCCCCTTTGAGGGCTTTTGAAAATGCTAGAAGCATAACCCCAATGATAAGTCTGTATCTGCTTTCATTTTCCACAGTGAGAGTGTAACAAATACACTTCAGAAGGGAATGCACCATAATGGGGAAAGTTTAAAGCATGTCAGAAGGACTGTAGATGGAAAGAAGGCAGGGCTCTGCTTTTCGTCAGTCATTAATTGCTTTTTTCCAAGCATGTCACCAGGTCTTCACGTGTCATCTGGCAGTGTGATCTGATGTAATCACCCAGCCAAAAACACAATGCAGAATGCGAGAGCAAATCTGCTGAAAGATTCCTTCCATGAGTCACAAGCCTGCAAGGAGTGGTTGGGCAGAGATCTCCCCCCTGCGGTAATTAAACCCCAAGTCAATCGATCCAATGTCTTTTTCCTCTCTGTTTCATTTTAATTTTCACTCCCTGTGGACACCTCAATTCTCTCCTTTTCTCCTCATACATGAATTCTGGCACCTCTTGGCTGTAGTAGAGGGTCTGCTTTTCAGTGGACCCTTCTGTCTACAAATAAGCCCAAACTAAAACCCCAGGCACAAACTTTCCAATAACCATCCAGATTTCAGGAGTTTTACTTTGGGTTGGCAGTTGAATTTCATTTCTGTTGCTGCAAGCTAAGTCAAGACATCCCTGAGCACCAGAAACTGAACAAGGGAAGCAGTGGGGAGGCAGACCTGCATACCCCGAACCCCATATTCTGCAAGGGCCTGTAAGTCCCCTACCCACTGCCAAATGCCTGGCTCCTTCACTAAGTTGCCAGGACAATTGCCAGTCACAGGGATAGTGGGGAAAAGCAGCTCAGGGAGCAACAGCATCATACAGCTTGCAGCAGCCTTAAAAAAATGGAGCTGAGCACAAAACTGTTTTGGGGTGAGAACCCACACCGAGAACTCATCCCTACACTATGGAAGCTGTGGGGTACAGATATCCAGGAGTAAGCAGGGAGAGACAAAGAGGACAAGGGGAGAGGTGACAGAGAGAGAGAAGACAGCCAGGGGTGGAGGCAGGAAAGGTAACAAGGGAAAGGGGAGAGAACAGGGAATTTTGAAAATTACATAATATTTACAAAAATAAAGCCTATTTTGACTGCATCGCTCTCCCCACTTTCACATTGTTGTCTGGGGACAGGATGAGGGGAAAAAACTAACAAGATGTGCCTCTCCTTCTCTGGATACTTTGCTTATATGCGGTTATCCTCTCCCCCTGCCCTTTGTCTGCTTTTGTCATTTGAAAATGGTAAGCTCTTTGGGGCCAGGGTTATCTCTGAGGCTATGTTTACACTGCACCACAGCACAGACTACAGGGGTATGAATTGCAGAGCATACCAAGTGTTGCGCATAACTTCCTCATGAGGAGACTGCTGGTGCAAACTAAAAGGTACCTCGTTGAGGTTAACACAGTCTTGTTGAAAGAGGACTATGTTAACATGAACTAGGTACCTTTTAGGTCACACCAGCAGTGCCGACACGGGACAGTTAGCCCTCAACACTTTGGTGTGCGCTACAATTCAGAGCCCTGTAGCCCACACTGGCAGAGCGTACAAAGCTCTGAATGTCTAGATTACTTAGTGCAATTAGGAGTTAACAACAACAAAATATAATGATAATCTTTAACACATTCCTAGTTGGAAACAAGAAGTTACAGGCTGGAGCTGCATTTGTTTATTTTCTCTCTTTTCTATCATAATCACTTTCTTAGAAGTTAAGTCTCTGGCTCTCTGCCGTGCTAAGGTGGTAAAAGTTGTTAATAGCATTGCTGGAGTTTCAGCCTATTTCATTCAATGGAGATAAAGCATATATATATCGCAGACCAGTGAGGGAGAGCAGTCATTGATTATCAGATAGTTTTTCCAGCAGCTTTTGGGTCTCATCCAAAGCCCATTGAAATCAATGGGAATCTTTCCATTGATTTCATGGGCTTTGAAAGCAGCACTTCTGAAGAGATTAAGACAGACTATGTTAACCAAATGAAAATTGACTACAAATGCTATTCACTGTACAGAGTTTGTTAGATTCCCCAAATGAAATTTTTTTGTTTTACTGAAACTTGTATTCATTGAAGTGCTCTACTGCTGTATCTGTGTAAGGATTTTTTTATCTTGACCCACAAAACCTCATTCCCTTTAGATTCAGTATTAACAGACAGTAAAAGAAACAACTTCAAAAATAGCTGTTCCATAAACTACTCTAAGAAATGGAGTTTGAGTGCATCACTTTGTACTGCTACCCTGCATATAACTGAACTACTGGACTGTAAGTTCATAGAATCATAGAATCATAGAATATAAGCGTTGGAAGGGACCCCAGAAGGTCATCTAGTCCAACCCCCTGCTCGAAGCAGGACCAATTCCCAGTTAAATCATCCCAGCCAGGGCTTTGTCAAGCCTGACCTTAAAAACCTCTAAGGAAGGAGATTCTACCACCTCCCTAGGTAACACATTCCAGTGTTTCACCACCCTCTTAGTGAAAAAGTTTTTTTTCTATGATTCTATGATTCTATGTCCCACTAAAAACCATAGGTTTTAAGTTCCCATAGGTTATGTAATTCCTCTTTTTGGGTGAACCATTGCTTGAAAAAGATATCGCTCTTCATTTTTCTAACTTATCGCTCTTTTTCTACAGTCAGATATGACTCAGAAGCCCAGCAAAAAATATAAAAATTAGGACTGTTGATTAATCACAGTTAACTCGCACAATTAACTCAAAAAAAATTAATCACACAGTTAAACAACAGAATACCCATTGAAATTTATTAAATATTTGTGGATGTTTGCTGCATTTTCAAATATACTGATTTCTATTACAACACAGAATACAAACTGTACAGTGCTCACTTTAGATTATTATTTTTGATTACAAATATTTGCACGGTAAAAATGATAAACAAAAGAAATAGTATTTTTCAAGTCACCTCCAACAAGTACTGTAGTGCAATCTTTTTTATCGTGAAAGT